GTGCTCCTAACTTTAAAAATGTAGTCGCATCAGTCAAAATTTAGTCGCACCCACCAATTATATACAAACATATTTATTGCATTTGAAATCAACACTAATCAAACTTACAAGCAAAAAAATATATATGCAAGCGTGAGGAAAATATGTCTCAACGAAATCCCGTTATCACAAGAAAATACATTTTTATATATAACTTACTCCGTGGACGCCCGTTTGTGATGGTGTACGTGGTGTTGAATTTGACATATAGCTGCCACTTGCATGGCAGACAGCATCTGGCGATTATATAAAGGATAAAACGGAAGCTTGCGTGCTAGATGTGGCAAATAGTTATCTGAAAATTCCACCCCACAGACTTTTCATAGCGGACTTGAAGCCTATTGGAAGTCTTTTTATCCACTCTTCATAAAGTGTAGATGGAGGATTAACATTCAGCACATGATCACTACTAAGATGCCATGGTTTCTAAAACAAAATCTGTCAGTGTTCTCTTTATTCTCATCTTCAGCGCTTTTTTGTGGTTGTAGCTCTTCCTGTCATCCCAAGGCATTGACTGAGTGATTGACAGCTAATATTAACCAATCCATTCGCGTTCAGTTCCAGAGCAGTGGGCCAATAAAAAGAGCACGAAGGGGGGGTAAGCATTACAGACTTGGCTTTGTTTACTGCAGCAAGTTGACATGACAACTGTTTTAAACCATTCCTGAGCGCTGCATTTCGTGTTTCAAGTGCAGAGATGCATTCTGCGTGAATGTCTCCCGAATCCGCGCATGTGGTGCAGTGTGGTGCAACATTTTGCAGTAAAAACTGGTTGCACACAACAATTTTATGCACTCGCTCAGATGTTCCCAAATATATTTTGAGGTCGCATAGATAAAATTTCAGGTGCATATGCGATCAAAATGATCGCAATTTCGAGCCCTGATAATTATTTTTTGGCCCATCCATCCATTATTTTGTCATTGATCCATCCATCTATCCCACCAATCTTCCATCCATCTATCTAATCATCCATCCATCCATCTATTCATTCATCATTGTCATTGATCTATCTATTCATCCATCCATAATTCTGTTTTTTGTCCATCCATCCATCATTCTGTCATTCATCCATCCATCCATCCATCCTTCCAACCTTCCATCCATCCATCCTTCCAACCTTCCATCCATCCATCCATCCATCATTAATTGAGCCATCTGTTCATTATTGTCATTCTCTCATTGATTCATTCATTCATCCATCCATCCATCCATCCATGCATAATTCTGTCTTGGATCCATCCATCGATCCATTCATCTGTAATTGATCTATCCATCCATCCACCCATAATTCTTTTTTAGGCCCATCCATTTATTATTTTGTCATTAATCAATCTATCCATCCATCCATCTCACCAATCTTCCATCCATCCATCCATCCATCCATCCATCCATCCATCCATCCATAATTCCGCCATTGATTGATCCATCCATCCATTATTGTCATTCTGTCATTAATGCATCCATCTATACATATATACATACATACATACATACATACATCTATGCATAATTTTGTCTTGGGTTTATCCATCTACCTCACTTTTGAAATATCAATGTTTTTTTATTTTGGACAGTCTCTGTTAGGTGAGATATGCTTCATAGCAATAAGCACTACTTGGGACCAAATGTGTCATGTACTCTATTGCATTTTATTTTGTACTATATTGTATTTGTAGCATGACTGAAACTCTATTTTAATCTTTCGGCAAACAGCAGAACTGAAAAATGAAGAGTTCTGCAACACAAAGCATTCATCATAAGAACACAGTAACATTGCCAGTATTGGCAAGAACAACACAAGCCCAGGCAGAGATGCAGAGTCTCACTTTGGCACGTTGTTAGTGTGGATTAAAAAGCGCAGCGATAAATGTGCAAAATCATTTTTCATCGCAATTACTCCTTCACCGATTCTGGACTTTCCATCGTCTTCCAGTCATCTCTGGTTTGATTTCTGATTCGTGGAGTGTCTCGTACCCTCATCAGATCTCTGCCAGAGCCACAGCTGGTTCATATCGACAGTGTAATCGCCTCCAGAAGCTGTTGTACTCGAGATTTAACAGCTCTAACGTATTTTTCACATCACTGACATCTATGCCCTCACCAATAGAGAAAAAAATCCCAATGCTTTTGATCAAATTTACACCACATGAATCTCGGGGAAGATGAGTTTGGGGCTGTAGAAGTGCATTTTATCCCTGTTTTGATCAGGATTTCTCTTCTCTTGGCTTCCAAAGGTTGCTGTGGGTTTCTTCCAGAGTCTTGTGGTGAAGTTTTAGCTTTTTTCTGGATCTTTTGCTGCATCTGTGTCAGCAACAGAAGAAGGATGAGCAACAGGCTTGGAGAACATTTATCTCTGACGCTGAGCAGAATCGCCACATGGACACGTTTAGTGGCTAAGGACAATAGCTCAGCCACAAATATCCCTCTGTCTACACACAAACTGATTCATATGGAGGGATTCTGGCTGAAGTTTGTACCGGCGCACTGGTGTTATACGGCAAACCTTCACAAAAAAGGCAATCAATGTCTCATATCAACTATCTCATTGCTGAGACGAGATAAATGAACCGTTGGCAGCTGGAGGATGGCGCTCGCAATCAAGACGCCAACTGGTTTCTAACAAAGCACAACCACTGGAAAAAAGAGTCTGCAATCAACAGAAGTAAAGCTAGAGTCTGCGACTGTCCGTGTCGGTGGAAACACTGCTGAACAATGGCTGTAATGAAGCCAGAGAGCTCACGTCCAAGCAGAATGTTCCTGAACACGGACGAGAAAAATTCATCAAAAATAAATCTGCTTCTCAAAGGATCAGCGGTCTACGTGATGGGAATCAGTTTCTATGTTGGCTTCTTGAATCTAGTAATTGCATGAAGCCAGGAGTTGCATGCTTTGTTCTGTTTTTATATTATATAATATATATATAATATTAGTTATAAATATCTTAATAATAATAGTTATAGTTATAATATTAGTTTCCATAATGATCCCTCTACATCATCTTATTATCTTTTGGGTGAAGCCCAAAAAACGTGAAAAAGTGTCACTTCCGGTCAAAAAACATGCTTGTTTGAAAAGTCTGAATTTGTAAGGGGAATTTGCGTCTGTCTTCCGGGTTGTGCAATAGTGGCTACGGGAGGCAAAAGATGCCAAAAAGGTCATGCGCATTTTTTTTTTTGTCTACTTTATTTTTGGGATTTTTTTGGATTGGACACTTTTGCACTTTAAATAAACGCACCTTGCACCATAGTGCTTTGTCGGCTGAGCCATCATTTATTTTTTCTTGTTTCACACACACCCTAAAAACGCCTCTGTGTGACATATGCACAATATCAGGCTTGACTGTACATGTAGTCAAAATATGAAGACTTTATTGAATAGATATAACACAATGTCAGTAATATCAGACATCCCAAGTGTTAGATTTTGCTGTATTTGGCTTAACCGTTCTTGGGGGGCTCGCCAATGTATTAGATTACTCTAACACATAAAATAAGTAAGCTGACCAAAGTTCTTACGGAGAGAAGACTTTATTGAAGACAATGAATAGTGCAGTTCCTCAGCAGTGATGTTAACCCGTCGGTCTTCAAGTAACTTAACTCAAAGTACTGTCTGTGAGACAGTACTTTATATTAGCATCAAACAAACCATTCTGTTTACGAAGCTCAGCAGGACCCTCTTCAGATGTTTCAGCTGTTGTTTTGCTAATACCCATTGAGATTGTAAAAGGGTCATTTAGTTCACACCTATCAGTTTGTGGGGGTCGAGGCACAGGTCACCCCATCATATCACATCAGAGTTTAATCAATGTAAATGCAAGTGAACTAAAATGCACATAATCTTTCAATCCCTCCTCTGATCATATTTGATCATAAAACAAGTTAATCATGTATACAGCAATCTGCAATACAGGCTATATAACTTAAAGTGACAGAATAACAAGGCATGGTGAAGCTTGCATTTCCTTAAATGCCTGAGTCCATTTCTATTTGAAGTTGTGATGTTGTGGAAGTAGCGGATGTGGTTGTGTTCTGTGAATGTTCAGGTGTGTTCATCTAGGTGTCTGGTGTTGTGTGTCTCTGGTCATTATCTGGAACATCAGAACACCTGCAATCACACAAAAGAGAAAAGGGAAACGTATCTTGCCCAAAAAAAGATTTTAGAGAAATTGTCAAACTGCCTATAGAAACTATAGAAACTGTCCCTATTTAATATTGACAGGACACTACAGTGTTTATCAGTGGTGGTTTATGTCTTCATCCTCAGGCGACAAGCTAGAGCCTAAAAACTCTAGTCCCGCCATATCTGGACTCTGAAAAACACTACTGTCATCTATCCCTCGTCTCTAGGCAAACTCACGTTGATCCATTCATCAAGTCCCTGAACTTTATTTATTGAATCAGATACTAAAACCTTCTCATGTGAGCTCTCACACCTAGATTTTAATGGTAATATCTGAGGTTGTCGTATCTTTATCCATTTTCTGGGCTCTAAACTATGGCCCCTCTTCAGAGGTGACAAAACTTGATTATTGTCCTCATGTACTGCCAGGCTGAGTCTTGCTTTGTTTTGGACAAGGCTGTCAGATGTCAGGTTTTCTGTGGACATGGGCTGGCTTAGGGCATGTTCAAAAGGGCATAGTCTGTTTCCATCCATACTGCATTGGTTGCCATCATGCAGTTCTATTGCACCGTCCATCAGGATTTCTTTGGTTGAGTTTTCATTTGCAGTCTGCTTTCTGTCTAAGACTGATCGGTGGTCTTTCTGAAGCTGTCTTAATGCCGCTGTATGTTCACCTCTCTCCTTTACGGCTTGTTTGGCAACACCATCTACTAGGACATCAAACTTGTCTTCATCTGTTGAGACTTCTGTGTCAGCTTTTATCTTACTGTTTGCATACACATTCAGTTCATCAGCTTCTGGAAAAGACGTCACTAGCTGGTGCTGCAGAGAGAGGTTCTTCAGTTTCCCTGCGGCTGTACAGCATTTAGCAGAGTCTGTTTTTGTTGTATTGTTAGCTGCTGAAACTGCTTGAACAGGTGGTCATCATCCTTGCTTTGATGTTTTAAACTGAGCTTGCACTCACGGGCCCAGTGTCCTTCTTCATTGCAATTTCTGCATCTTCCTTTAGTTCGTAGTTTTGAGTATCCCATATACACACATTCTTTTTGCTCATCCTCAATTGTTCTGTTCTTGTAAAACAAACTTTCCGATTGCAAAGATCTGAGTCTGACATCTTGTGCTCTCTCCAGTTTAGCTGACCATTCAACAATCTGGATGAAAGTTGTTACAGTGCTGTCCCAGTCATCATACCTGATTTTAAGATCTTTAGAAATCTCAGGATTGAGTCCATTGACAAATGCTGTTTTCAGGGGAATTCCAGTGTCTTTGTCAAGATCTTCACTTGTATTCAGACCAGAATGTTCCGTCCATATTTGTCTGAAGCGTTCTTCAAACTCTGCAACACTTTCTCCAGTTTTCTGCATGCATGAGGTAATTCTTGCCCAATTGACCTCTGCAGGTTTCAGTTCAAACAAGAAGTTTTTTATGGCTTCCCATCCATCTTCTATGTTTTCTTGTGATTCACCAATCCTTCTTTCAACACTTTCTGTGAGTCTCTTTTGGTCACTGTCTCTTAGGGTGACATTAAGAATCATCACACCGTCTAGTGGATGTAAAATGTAGATTTTCTGCAGTCGTTGAAGAAACTGCCAAACCTTTCGTGGTTGTTTGTATACATCTGGCAGCTCTTTTGACCATTTGTCAACTTGCTCTGGAGTAGCTGGATGGTATGTCCTGTATGGAACATACTTCTTTACCACTTTTGTCACAGTGCGAGTTCGTCTTTCTCCATTGTCTTCATAGCCCTCCTCATTGTCAATTTCAATGTTAGTCCTTCTGTGTTTGACAATCACAGGAGCTAATCTAATCTTTGAGTTCACATGGTCATGAACACAGGTGTTGATGGAAAGATCAGCCTCACTGTCAACAAAGCTGCTTGAAGATCTTGATTCCAGCTGTTTGGAGATCAAAGTCAATAGCTTGTTGTTTTCATTTTCCAGTCTTTCTTTATCCTTCTTTAAGTTTTGCAATTGTTCAGCCAGTGCTCGAACTTTAGCTTTCTCCGCTTTGTTCTCACGTTCCAATTTGTCAGTCTCACACATATGCTCATGTTGAAGAATTTGCTTAACCAAAATCACAGACAATCCATCCTTCTTGGTGGTTGTGCATAAGCGCTGTGTCTTTCCATAAGCCCTTTTAATGTCCGGCAATGCCCATAATCCACTCTGTGAGTGCTTGATGCTGTACTTCTTGCTTACATCATCACAACACTTCCTCAGTCCCAGCCTTTTGTCTAAATATGCATTCAAATTCTCCAACATCTGGTCAATGGTAACACATGGAGGTTCTGTTCCATGTTTTTCTGATGTTGTTCTCAGGGTAGCTCCATTAGCATAGTTTCTTGCAGACTCAGCCATGGGAAGTACAGGACAGTGCTCTCAGAGGTGTGAAACAGAACAAAAGGTGTTAGAGCTAATAAAGGTGCTTATTCAAATTTAAATTCACAGCAGTCTGTTAAACCATTTCAAATACATAGACAGATTCAACATTTGTTTCAAAGCTAAAATAGTGGCTACTAAATTAGCACTTTCATTCTTTCAGTCCCAAATCTTATTTGGCTACTAACAATCTTTGAACAAATGTATTAAACTATTACTTTTAAAATCTCTTCAATCCCAACAGAGAATGTATCAAGCTTTGCTTCTGCATTATCTTAGTGATTTGACCAGAATTCTTTTTTCACAGTTTCTACAATCTTCAAAGCAAGAATCAAGCCTAAAATTGCCTGAAAGCTTCTGTCTAATAACAATTCTTTCTGAGCATTATCTTAGAAGGCTAAGTAACTTTCTTTAGGATTTGTCCCTAATACAATGTGCTTAAATCTTACTGTATCCTTAAACCTAAGGCAAACAGCTTTCAGTTTTATGCCATCATATTTTAACACAGTTAGAATTTTCAAAATTACAATAATGGCCCACAGTCAAGAATTCCTAATTCTCGCAGCAATATCAGTCGCAAACTATTTATGTTTGCTTTATATGGCTCCTAACCATCTTTGGACAAAGGAGCTAAACTGTTATTTTTCAATCTCTACAATCACAGCTGAGAATGGACCAAGCTCTGCTTCTGCATAATCTTAGTGATTGGACCAGAATGATTATTTAACAGTTCATACAAACTCCAGAAAACTAACCAAACCTACAATGTTTTTAAGATTTCTATCACAGAAGGCTGTTACTTTCAAAATTAAAATAGTGGCTACTGAATTAGCACCCAGTCAAGAATTCCTAATTCTTGCAGCCACATCAGTCCCAAACTATTTTATGGCTCCTACAGTCTCCTGGGGAAATGGACCAAATTATTTTCAACAATTCCTACAATCTCCATGAGAAAGGACCAAATTGTTTAAATAATTCCTACAAGTACCCTGAGAATGGACTAAGCCTAAAATTTCCACTGCTCTTTCAAAATCTTTTGATAAATGGACCAAATTGTTTCTTTAACAATTTCTGCAAATATCAAGAAAAAGCCTGAAATTTCAGCAATACTATCACTGTATTTAGTTTATTACTGCACTACATATACAGGTTGATCTGCTTACTTTAATGGTTACTTATAAAAGATGTTTCTTTTAAGGGTTCTTTAAGAGAGCTGATAAGTTTCACTCACCAAACTAGGATCTTTGAGATGAGATCCAGTTGATTAAAATAAAGTGTGTCCACAGATACAATATGTAGATCCAGGACTCGTCCACAAACAAAATCCGTTTATCTTCAGCTTTAACTGTAGATTCTCCAAGATTCTTCAGTTCATTTCTTGTTGCAGTTGATGAGTTTTCCTCTTTTCAGTCTCTCCTGGCTGGCTTCGCCAAATTGTTAGATTTTGCTGTATTTGGCTTAACCGTTCTTGGGGGGCTCGCCAATGTATTAGATTACTCTAACACATAAAATAAGTAAGCTGACCAAAGTTCTTACGGAGAGAAGACTTTATTGAAGACAATGAATAGTGCAGTTCCTCAGCAGTGATGTTAACCCGTCGGTCTTCAAGTAACTTAACTCAAAGTACTGTCTGTGAGACAGTACTTTATATTAGCATCAAACAAACCATTCTGTTTACGAAGCTCAGCAGGACCCTCTTCAGATGTTTCAGCTGTTGTTTTGCTAATACCCATTGAGATTGTAAAAGGGTCATTTAGTTCACACCTATCAGTTTGTGGGGGTCGAGGCACAGGTCACCCCATCATATCACATCAGAGTTTAATCAATGTAAATGCAAGTGAACTAAAATGCACATAATCTTTCACAAGTCTCCCAGAATGATGTCAACAAACGAATTATAATTTCCTCGAAATCGCGCACCTCCCGTCCTGTCCTCAAATACGTTGCGCACCCCTTTCTACGGCATCCCTTTCTGCTCTTCAGTTACGTCTCGCTCCCCCAACTCTAATACTAAAATTCTAAAATTCTTCTGATATGCCCCCTATATATCCCCCCACCCCCACATCTCACAGCCTCCCTCAAAAAAATCTCTGTCTTCCCCGGAAATGACTTTCCCAACTTGGAATGTCTGGTAATATGCTAATTGAGACATGACCTCATCTAGTGAGATTTAGTGCAAAATTTTTGAGCAGAGCTTAGCTACTTTCCACTTTAAATAGTTGTCAACAATGATCTTTGTATACCTGTAGTCTAGATTAAAGGGACAGTTCACCCCCGAAAAAATTACACTTTACTCATCATTTTCTCAACCCCAAATGATTCCAAACCTTTATGAGTTTCCGTTTTCTGTTTAGGGCAGTGGTGCTCAACCCTGTTCCTGGAGATCGACCTTCCTGTAATGTTCAGCTCCAACCCTGATCAAACATACAAAAAACCAATCAATTAGGACCTGACCAGCACTTGATAGTTACAGGCTGGTGTGTTTGATATGGTCTGCAACTGAAATCTGAAGGAAGGTCGATCTCCAGGAACAGGGTTGTTCACCCCTAGTTTAGGGTATATGCAGGAATCCTAAAGGTAATTTCAATAGCTTTTTAAGACTTTTTAAAGACCTTCTCAGAATGTTAAGAACTCATCGCCACTTCTAATCCGTAATTAAAGCTTTAACTAAATAAACAGTTGTAGTTGGATAAATCAATGGAGCACAACCATGCAACAACTAACAGATAAGCTCTGGGCAGCAAGGTGGCTCAGTGGTTAGCACTGTTGCCTCAAAGAAAAAAAAGGTTGCTGGTTTAAGTCCCGGCTGGGCCAGTTGGCATTTCTGTGTGGAGTTTGCATGTTCTCCATGTGTTGGCGTGGGTTTCCTCCGGGTGCTCTGGTTTCCCCCACAGTCCAAAGACATGCGCTATAGGTGAATTGGGTATAAGCTAAATTGGCTATAGTTATTTGAGTGTGAATGAGTCAATAAATGTAATCTGTATCCATTGATTTACATAGTAGGAAACACTTACCATGAATGTGTTACCATGGTCACAATGGTTTCCAACATTTTTCAAAATATCTTCTTTTGTGTTCAACGGAAGAAAACTAATCAAGTTAAGACAAGAAATTATCGATGACAGAACTTCAGTTTTGGGTGAACTATCCCTTTAACTGGTTTCCGCCTGTGTGTGTCTTTTCAGGTTCCACTTGTGGTAGAAACAAAAAGTCAACTTTTCCCTCTTTAATTGCTGCACACTTTTCAAATGCACCAGATAAAATATCAGATAATTCTTTAAAATGCTCTGCAAATAAGTACTCTAACCTGTAAGTGTGTGTTCGAGTTGTAATTCTACCAGATATACTCAAAGAGAGAGATGTTCGCTTACAGGAGCGCCGGATCTTCATCTGCCATCAGGAGCATTGATTTATTAATGTTAGCGAGGCCGGCTACGCTAATAGGGTTTAGATCCAGGAAGTGAGTTAATGTAGCTGACAGCGATACAGGAATTTAATCTCTCGAGTGCAGAGAATTATGACTGCTCGCTATCAGAGCCGTCAGCGAGGAGAGAGCAAATCAATGTGTGCTGAACGCGGTTTAACAGAGAGTCGGACTGATCACCACCTGCACACACACAGACACACGCCTGACACACACCACAACTTCACTTCAGCTCTCTGAACTTCATGAAAATCACTACAAATGAGGCTGTCTGTGAGGAAAAACTACTCATGGTTTCTTCAGTTCATGTAATGGTTCATCATCTCCACTTAAGTTTTTTTTTTGTTCATTCATTCATTTTCCTTCGGCTTAGTCCCTTTATTCATCAGGGGTCACCGCAGCTAAATGAACCCCCAACTTATCCAGCATGTTTTACACAATGGATGCCCTTCCATATGCAAACCAATACTGGGAAACACCCATACACGCTCATTCACACTCATACACTACAGCCAATTTAGTTTATTCAATTCGCCTATAGTGCATGTCTTTGTATAATGAGGGAAACCGGAGAACCCGGAGGAAACCCACGCCAACACAGGGAGAACATGCAAACTCCACACAGAAATGCCAACTGAAATAGCCGGGACTCGAACAAGTGACCTTCTTGCTTCTTGCTGGTTTTTAATAGTTTTTAATTTTACTTTAATTGTTTTTAATTTTACCTAATGTTTACGATTCAAATTTAACTTAGTTATCTGCAAAAATGGTAGATGTAGCTTTTATGGAGTTGTAAATAAAAGCAGTTTTTGTTGTGAGTGAATAATAATTCAGATTTAATCTTGCATTAGAATTTCAGTGCCATTTTCTTAATTGCTTGTTACATTTGTTTGCAGTTTGTGAGTCGAAATTTCTCCACCAATGTTTTTTTTTTTTTGTATGTTTAATTGGAATGTCATTTTCAATGTTTTATTTGTACATATTTATGAAGAATTTGAAGACACGGCTAACATAGCCACCAGAGGTCGCTGTGTACTCGTTTTCAGATCTCAAATTTCTCTCATTCGCACCTGCTGTTCTCGCGTAAATCCACCAGAGGTCGCTGTCGACTATCTGACGACTGACCAATCAACAGACCGATCCCTCGACCAACCTCCTTCCCTAAACCCAACAGAAAGTGTTTTCAAAAGCACCGTTTGACCAGCGCCCACTGCCCTCCCTGAACCCAACCGACAGTGTTTTCAAAAGCAATCCAGAAAAAGAAAAGCTGCCTGATTTTTACCACATTTTCAGATCTTACCACATTCTCACCCTGTTATTTATTAATTTTTTGTTTTTACCCGTTTTCTGGAACCGTTCTTAGCTGCACTCAAACCCTTTCATCAAAGTTTACTCTGATTTGGGTCTCAAGTCCCCTGACATACACGGAGAGCTACTGGACAAACTGGTAAAAGCGGAAAAAGCCGTCCATATCATGGTAAGCGGCCATCTGGTAGAGTAAAAAGAAACAGAAGCCGTCTATTTGTACATACTTATAAAGAATTTAAAGACACTGTTAACATAGGGCTTCCTTTAGGGACAGTACAATTTTAACTGGTATTTGTTGATGCAACTATGTATTGTGGTACTTGACAAAGGTTTGCCAAAGTAGTCTTGAGTCCATGTGGTGATATAGCTATTAGGCGAATAACGAACCGATCACACTGAACGCGCTTTTTGCGTTTAGAAGCACCTTTTTTTAAATGATTTACTAATGGCCGCCTGTGTTGTGCGCGCTGCTTATGCGCCCTGTGTGCCTTGCATTTTAACTGCCTGCTGTGTTTTTGCTTTTGCACTGTGTTCTCGCAGTTAAAAAAAGTCAACTGAGCAGAAAAAGCGTTACGTCAGTGGCGTCTTTTTCATTCTCCAATCAAATACAAGCAGAGGCGGGGTTTCTGTTGAGGTGCCTGCAGTGTTTGTGTTGTAAAGACAACTACAGAGACTTTTGAAGATGGAGGAAAGACTAGTGGTTGCTGTTTTGAGTTATCCAGTGCTATATGAATCACAAATCGTGAATATTACATTAGTATTGTATTTTAAAATTATATTAATATTAACAGCAATACTTGCGCACATTACACAGCTGATTCAGATGTTGCCTAGCAACAGAAAAGCACACCGTGCTTATTTTTTACTTGTCAACCAATAGGCTGTGAGGTGCGCCATGCATTTTTGGAACATAAAAGCGCGTTTGGTGTAATCGACCCGTTAGGATTCTTGATGCAGTTTTTTTATATGTTTAATTTAAAGTAATTTTAGGTGTTTTATTTTTACAAATTTATGAAGAATTTATACTTAAAATTTAATTTATGGTATGAAAGCATTGTTTTTTAGACATGCATAATGTTTCTTATGGTTAGAGTTTAAAGATATATATGTATTCCTTTTCCATTGGCTTAGTCCTTAGGACCAATCAACTGACTATTTTAAAGAATAAAATCTCATTTAGGTCTCAATTTCCTTTTATATTTTAGCGTTTTTTTTTTTTTTCTCAATATTGATTTGTTTACACCATGTGGCGTCATGTTGGCGCAGTGGTTAGCACTGCCGCATCACAGCAATAAGGTCCCTGGTTCCAGTCCCAGCTGGGTCAGTTGGCATTTCTGTGTGGAGTTTTCATGTTCTTCCAGTGTTGGCGTGGTGGGTGCACAGGGTGCTCCGGTTTCCCCCACAGTTTCCCAGTAATGGGTTGTGCCTGGAAGGTCATCCGCTGCATAAAACATATGCTGGATTAGTTGGCGGTTCATTCTGCTGTGGCAACCCCTGATAAATCAGGGACTAAGTCGAAATAAAATGAAAGAATGAATGCGTTCACCATATATAATTAGAAAACTTACAATAAACCAATCAAATAGTCTTTAATATTATTTTTTTTTTTCAATTTTTGGTTACATTTCTCAGTTACAATTACAATAAGTAACTAATAATTATCCAATCAACTGGTCTTTATTAAATATATTTCATTTTTGCTTACTATAAGAAACAATTCCAATCTATTTGAATGACTTAAATCACTTTTTTGATCTTTACTTCCCCGGTCCTGAATAACCTCAAATGACCAGAGGGCCAAGCAGCAGCAGTATATATTTGTGTAAGGAAAAGCCTTCGCATCTTTCATCAGTAATCATGAATGATTGAAATTCAGC